TTAACACAGGAAATACACGTGGAACCAAGCCAGTACTTTGTCACCTGGGGTACATGGACACAGCCTCAAGAGCCTGAAAGCCTCCTGTCCCTCCTAGGAAGCCTCACCATGGCTGTGCTCAGAGCAAGCAAAATGACTTCTCAAATGAGGGAATGCTGGCTATGAGATGGGGGCTATTGCATTTTTGTCCCCATGAGAGATTTGATCCAAAACCCTGATAGTTCCCATTATTAATGTAATCAGATGGCACCGAGGGGCACAAAACTGCAGAATTTTGCCGAACACATTTGTCAGACACAGCAGAAGTGTAACTTAAGTTCATGCTGATCTTTGAGTGGCGGCATTCATTGTCTCAGCTGATGTTTAATAAAGACCATTCTAATAATCTTCCCTTTAATTTGGTGGCTATTAAACACATTAGCTTCATAAAAACTGTGTTTTCTTATAGCCAAGTTTCTCTAAGATGCTGAAAAGTAAGGACATGCTGCTCATCCAACTGGTTGACTGTTGTCTAGTTAAGTTTACACAGAGTAAATCTATGCTGTAGACCTGAGTCGCTCAGTTATGTGTCCTTTAAAACAGGGACCCACATGGGAGGTGTCTCTTGCTTCCACCAGCTCATCATTTGCTGGTTTTGCCACATTCTGTGCTGTAAATCTAACTTAAAAAAAGAGAGATGAGAGAGAATGCTGATTCTGTAAATTGAACAGAAAGATTGGCTCCACATGCAATACTTTATTTCTTTTGTGTTTGTTGCGACTGAGAAAACAATGGCAGAGGACACAGGAAATGTACCTGAGTTGGGTACATGCAGATGAGCTGATGTTTGCAGTGACTTGGATTTGTGAGCATAAGATAGAATGTGCCATTCAAGCATGAGTCCATGTTCTGTCTTTTCTTCATGCTTTTTGTATTGCAACTATGCTTAGCATAAAATGTTTTGGTTGAGGTGCAGCTTTGGAGTTCTGTAATGTGACTTGTTATGCATTCAGAACAACAAGGGTCGGGTTTTGCATTTTTGTTTTATTTCGGACATAGAAAGGCATCTGCCAATTAGTCTGAAACTTTCAGGGATCCCCTGCTGTTATTTCTCGGCCATGAACACCTCATTAAAGTTTATTCAATGTCAGCACTCCATGTTGAGTTGCTGGAACACTGAGTTGTTCTTTCCACTGGGACTTGCTGGATTTGAGTGAAGAGAGCACAGCTCCCTGCCAGTGTGCCCAGCATACCAGTGACTTGTGATTACAAGTAGTGCAGGGGCTACCAGCAAGCAGCAGCTTGGCACATCACACTCTTCATGCATTTTCTGGTGGCTGCTGTTTTAAATTCTTCTGTCATCCGGGAGGATGTGCACAGGCATTTCACAAATATTTCACATGTGTGAACCCACCAAAGTGATTATTAGGCAGTGCACATTCATGTGACTGCTATAAAGCTTTCAATGCAGAGAGGTGGGACTAAATGACCTTTAAAAGGTCCCTTCTTACTCAAAATGTTCTGTGATTGTATAGTGTTAGGTGCACATATTTGTAATATTTGAATAGCAGAAAATATATTCTCTGCATTTTAATATCTTATTAGCTATCAAAATTCTCCGGTATTTTATATTTTATATACTATGGGTATATTTTTTCTATTTTCCATAGACATGTGGGTAAACATAGTGGAAAGAGCAAATCTAAAGAAATTCCTCTTTAATTATGTAGATAAATCACTGTTTTCAAGCTAGTGGGTGGGAAATGTCTAAAAATATTTTCTGCCAATAAATTATATTGCAGTTAGCACAACCACATTTGTGTGTGATCCCTTAATTTATGTGTGTGGCAAACTCCAAGGTGAGATGACCCAGATCTGATGGCAGCCTTGTATAAGTGTAAAGCAGATGGGCAGCGGCAGCTCCCCAGGCAGCCACAATGCTCTTGTCGGTGGAAGTCAGCCTGAGATCAGAATCTGAAACATTTACATATTCTAGATAAGAAGGTGAAACTCAGTATTTCGTGCTGCTAGTTTTGAAGGAACTGTCTCAGCTGGGTTTCTGTTTGTTCTGGTTTTTAACTGTCTCTCTTTCTTGTGCTGTGAAGTACAAGGAAAAATGAAGCCAAGACATTACTGTACAATAAAAGACTATCTGGTACCTAAGAATGGGAAATGAAACTTATTCTGCACGGTCCGTCTATTGCTAGTGAGACATACAGCTGGATCTCTGCAGTAAATTACTGCAGGTTAACTCAGGTACTCTGAGCAAGAAAAATTTCTGAACTGAGCTTGCAACAGTGTTTTTTGTTGTGCAGAGTCCTCCTCTGTGTTTGAGATAGACAATAAGTAAAGTAATGTGATGGAATTTTGTCCTTTTTGACCTTTTCAGGATCCTGGTTTATTGCAATGGAGCACTTGCATGAAGTTTTGCCACATAGGCATTTTTTCAGGTGCTGCTGAATAAAAATAGCTTCAAATTGCCAAGAAGTGGCTGCTGGGTTATGAGCATGAATTTCATAAATGTTTTATCTAAATTAAAGCAAAATCAAGAGAAAAGCCAACAAGGTCTTTGTTAAAACAAACAAAACCACACAAAAAAGTGTGTTAGGCTGTTTAAAAAAAAGTCTTTGCTTGGCTCTGGTGGGTATCCTCAACCTGAAGTTCATAAGTGCTAGATTTTCTTTCCAAACAGAAGGTGCCTTCTGAATGTGGTCAAGGAATCAGACAAATCAATTAGCCAGAATAAATAATAGTATGTTGCTTGGAGGCATAAGGCAAGGCTTCAGTCCAACAGTACTTTGAAGTTATGTAGACTTTAAAAGGAAGATAAGCGGATACAAAAGTTCTGCAGCAGATTGAGTTAGACACCAGATTACAATTCTTTTATGGCTGCAAGCAAATAACTGAAACTCTAGGCTTCTGTTTGCCATGCATGAGCACAATAAGATAGTGTTTCTTACTTTCAGGAGAGAAGTGAACATTGTTTCTTGAAAATGCCCTGTGTGGCATTTATTCCTATTGTATGGGGTTTTTTAGGTGGTGGGTGGGGGGTTAAGATAGGTCATTTAAAAACATCTTTTTGGAATTGTTCTCATGGCATGAAAGAAAGAAAGAAACAAAGGTCTTTGCTTGAGTCTCAAATTGGAATTCTTTCATTGCACATTTGAGCAACTTTATACTGTCATTTAGTTTAATGGGAAGTTTGCATGGAAAGTTTTAGTTATTTTATAGAGAAACTGAAAATTTTTTTTATATCATATAAGTTATTTCTACATTTAACTGCTGGCACTCCATGACTGTGGATATTATTAATGTCATGTTATGTGAATTTTTCAAATTTCCATAAACTATATATTTTTTATTGCAAATGGTTAGAATTTGGTTTTGTATTGATGGACTGTATGAAATCTTCCAAATGTGGGAATATATGTTTCTAAAATATTACTGAACAAACAATTGTAATCTCCCCGTCTTCTTTCTAAATATATCTTCCACTTTTACCATAGGTAATAAAAACATTATGCTAAAAGAATTTGAGCTAGTTGAGACCACCTCCCATTTCTAGGTTTGTGTTTATTTTGGTCATATTGAATTTGAAGCAGAGACTCTCTCAGGGAAGGAATGCAGTCCAAGAGCCTGGGTCCAGATGTTATGCTTTCCTTCCACACCAACCTAGGCCTCTGAGGCAGAGATCCCCCTCTCTGAAAACAAGACTTGGACAAAGTGCAAACGCCTCATTTCCTGAAATCTCATTGTTTAGGCCAACAAACAGGCAGGTCAACATGCAGGTTGCAGAACTGAAACTGAACACCACCCCAGTTGCCCTGGATCAATGAAGTGTAATTTGAGGCTTGTGGTTGCCTGTCTAGCTTGGAGAACCAGCACAGAGAACAAAGGCTCAACACTGTGGCCTTCAGATATTTGAGGAGTGAAATAATGTTGCTGCTGTTCTCTTTTGCTGGCTTTTGGCTCAGGGCTGTGCTGTTTAGGTAAGCTAGGCATTAATTTTTTGTGATGGTTATGCCAGAAAGTTCTCCTAGAGCAGAGGCAACTTACACTGGTCCTAGGTAGGTTAGTTGAAGAAGAAAAACAAAACAGCAACAAAACAAAACTCCAAACCAGGAAAGAAAAACTTATTTGGGTTCTGCAGATGTTCACATCAACTGTTTCTTATAACAAAACATCTTGATTTGACTCTGTCAGTCTCTCTGTAAAGTCAAGTCAGCAAAGAGCCCTTCGTGAACAATAAATGAAAAACTTGGCGCAAGTCTGGCACTAGATGCAAATTAAAAAAACAGTAGATGTAACTGGCTGTGATGCCTGTGGCATTTTCAGCAACTTGTATGAAAGGTTAGAGTCCATAGCTTCTGCCCCTAGTGGGAAATGGCACACACAAAAGTGAGCTGTCTTGGCTGGAATGTTTTTGCACTGTGGCTGCTGCTTTTTGCACAGGGAGCCTTTTTTGGTCAGTAGAAACTCAGGCCCATGGTATTTTGTTTAGCTGCAGTTCAGGGTGTTAATTTATAATTAGGCTTCACTGGGATGTAATCAGATCCATACTTGTAGGGAGTATGGGGGGTTTTTTGCATGTTTTTACTGAAGAGCTCATTAGAAGTTGATGGGAGTTGAGTGCATCTCAGCCTAGTCATGCACCTTTTCCTAAAGCACCTAATTCAATTGATTGGGGTGTTTAGTGACAAGAAATACTGTGTCAGCAGGACCTTAATTATTTAATCTATCTAACCACAGCATGAGTGTTATGAGTAGTGCATGGAGGTAGATAAAACTCTTACATCTTCATGTTTGAGCAGGAACAATGGGAAAGGAAAAAGGTAGTTTTTATTAGTAAGTATAGGCAATATTGTACAGTTGCTGCTTGATATTTGCCACATAAAATATATGCCACACCATGAAAATAGAAATTTATCTGTCAGTTTGCTCAAGTGTGACTGAACTCTAATACTAATAATGTTAAGTGTACAATATCATATGTAATGGTATATTTTTCTGCACTGTTGTAGATTATATTATCTTACTTAAACTGTGAGGCAAGAATACTTCTTGAAAATTAAGAGTTTGACAGGTAAGAACTGAGTTAACTAATTTTATAAAGACCATTGTTGTTCATAACCACCGTGATAAAGTAAACACAGTAGCATTCACTCTTCTTGAACTACAGTTCCAAAAGCTGACAAAAAATCACTTGCGATTCTCACAGTGATACAAACAGGATATTTGAGAAAGAGAGATGTCTGAAAGACAGATGTCAAGTGTGAATGATGTTAGTATTTTCAATGCTTAGTATCTTGGATGTCTGTCAGGAAGGGATTTGTAAAGAATTGTCTTCTGACAGAAAAATGGGAGCCGGTTGAGAAAGTGGCTGGAGGTAATGGGCACACAGACACCAGGTGCTGGCAGCACAGCTCTGGTGTGGGCTGCTTGTCATTGCCTATCTCATATTTTCAGATACCCATTGGGAGACCTAAACCTCATGTGCAGGAAATGTCCCTAGTCCCCTTGGGGTTATTGCTAAATAATAGCATGCCTGGCAAGTTAAGTTGTCATTCTTTGACTGATGTCTCCCCTGGGGTAAACAAGAAGTAGATCTGCAGAACAAAAAGTCATCAGCTCTTTGTTTAAACAATCTGCTAAAACTCCTGCCTGGTGCTTAAGAAACAAGGATTTGAGTCTTTTCAGGAGGATTGTTGAAAGATTAAATAATTACTCAGTTCATAAGAGGAAAACTCCCACTTTGCTGAAGATGGTGTTGGAAAGCCTTATAGTCAGAGCTGATGTAAAAAGAAAATGTGAGCAGTTTTACCTTATCCCTTTTACCCTTTATCCCCTTTTACCTTATAATGGGGGGAATTCTATATTTTTTTACTTCTAATCAGACTGAGACAATGCAGGTGAGCAATTCACTTGACCCCCCCCCCCAATAAAGGATGGAGAAACACAGAAATTTGATAGATCAAAACCTATGATGTGCTTTAAGTTATGAACTGTCAATCCACTTTTCCAGGCCACTGAGAAGGTTGTGAGCTATTTAATTTACAGAACCCTTGCCATCCTTTCAGTTTCTTCCTTTTTGTATACATCTATTTCATCATAGAGCTTATAAACACAATACAGGAAGTTGCTGAAATTGGAGAATTAAACATTTTTCCATACACAGATAGCGCTTCCTGACTGCACCATATTCTGTTACCTTGCCTCAGTATTGTAAAGAGCCTGAAGTTGAGAAATGGTATTGAAGTTCCTTTGGGTTTACATTCTTGGAACTTTTCCTAGAGCAATTTCACGACTTAATTTGCATTTGGTGTTAGAAAATTTATAAGACTCTGGTGCTTTGTTACTTATACCTAGATTTTGAAAGGAAAAAGAATGAATGCCTGTTAAGTTTAAAATAAAGTTGTAGCCTTTTCTTATAAAAATGGATGTGCTAACCTTGAAATGCCAGTAAGTTGCATGGAGGTATTAAAAAATAAAAAGCTATATATTCCAAACATTATATACAAAACAAATGAACTAAGTATAATCTTTTATCTGTTAATCTTTATTTATATAGGAACATGGTATATAAGGATTCTTAAGACTGTTAAAATGCTATTAATTTTCTGTGTTTTGTCCCAAATCTTTGCTCCCATTCTTGCAGAAAATGAATATTTTTGTTATTAGCTGTTCAAGCATGTTTTAAGCTGAGTCTTGAAATATTTCCTTTAACAAAGAATTTTTTAAAAATGCTGGTTTTTGAGACATTTTAAGGTTAGTAACCTATTTACCATATTTAACTACATGATGCTATTCCTGCTTCTACAGTATCCTAGTTAGTTTATCAGCTTGAATCTGAAATGAGTACAAAGATAATAATAGAACCAATTTAATTGTGTGGATGTATACATGGCTTTTGGTTGTACATCTGCATAAATGAAAGTGGCTTTATTGCTTCACACTAAAGACCTTTTGAAGGGTTTTGATTACTCTGTGCTTAAAATGCCTCCCTGGAGAAGGCAATACCTTGGACAGATTATATGATGTTCCTGATCCATTCAGTCATTTTTGGGGGAAAAAAAAATTGCCTTAGTAAATTAAACACAGAAAACCCCATGAGTAGGTCCATGCTTTCACCATGTAGTTCCTGCACTAGTCCTTGCTTTTAGAATTATACTTGTGTAATACAAAGCATTTGATCTGGCATATGCTGTGTTATAAGCATCTGGCTGTAAAATGCTACTGAAGATTGCCCATTCTTTTAGCAGTAATTTTTAAACACTTGACCAATTCAAAATGAGCTCTGACATTTTAGTGACTACCTGAATTCTGAATATCCTTCCTTATGTCATGAATGAAGTAATTTCAGTGGGTTGTGCTCATCGTTTCTGCCACTGCTTTACCAATATAAGAAATTGTTGTAATTCAAAGGCTGTATAGAAATATTTAATTTGTATACTTTCGCTACTGTTTATTACTGGGGAAAAAAAAAATTATAGAAAAAAGCAATAATAATTCTGGTGCTTCTTGCATTGCATACCTGACAAACCCATTTGGGCTTGGTTTTACTTTGAGAAGGACTTTAACTTACTTACTGTTATTCCATGAATATTTCTTCCATGGAAAGAAGAAATAATAATAATAATAAGCCATAACATCAAACCTAATAACTTAATCTGAAATAATTTTTGTTAATGTTTCGCATGGAACCAATGCACATGAGAAAAGGGATGGCAATATACAGAAAAATCTTGCTCTATACCTTGGGCTTGAAACCAATCAGGTGATTGAGCTGGCTGTTACTTGGGCCCATAGTGAATTGTCTTAGGGAGCACAACCACCTGAGAACTATTTCTTTTGGAGAGCAGGAACCAGGGAGAAAGAAGACAGAGGTTGCTCTCAAGTGGTTTAGTTATGTAAGGTGGTGTCACAGATGGGGTCATGAAAAAGGCAGCGACAGTCCAGGGGAAATAGGAGGGCAAGGGTGGGATGGACAGAGGAGAGAAGAGCAGTCCTTTCACTGGCCACCTACTCTCCTCTGATCTCAGCTGTCTCATAAAACTTCTCTTCGCAATTTGGTGAGGAATTCTCCAGTCTGATGAGCATGGTAGAATAAAGGGATGAGTGTCTTACTAGTGAGAGGCCCCCAAGAAGCATTTCCATCCCACTAGTTCCTAAGGAAAATATGCCCCAAGCCTTCCTCCAGCTCAGATATCTTTTAAGACTTCTGTTCTTCCTCCTTCTGAATCCTTTTGGCAGATTCAATTTACATCATGCTCTGGGGATTTGATTAATTTCCTATTATTGGCTGAGTCTTGCAAACCCCTGCACTCAAGGTTGGCAATTGTGCTGTTAAATCTTGGTATAAATGAGTTCTGCTCCTGCACATTCAACCTATGGCATCTTTGCTGTCTGGGACCATCCACCCAAACTGTGTTTGTTTGATGAATAAGTGGCACCATAATGTGAAATCTATCCTATTAGCAGAGTGAATAAATTTACTCAGTATGGAACTTTTAAGTGTCTATTACCATATGCCTTAGGATCATAATTTAAATTAAATTTGCTTAAAATGGAAATCTAGATTCAAGCTGACATCATAACATATGACCTCCACTAGCAATGAAAATTGAAAACATGAGACAAGGACATTAATCACTGAATAGTTTATAAGCTGCCCTGAATGTTCATGTGAAATGTTAACGCTATTTTATTATATGCAATAACAGCTTAAAGTGAAAATTTATGAACACTGTGAGGTGTCTAAGATAAGGCATTCAGACTCATCTTATTGTGCCTTGGCTCAAATATTTTGAGTCTTTAGAGAAGTGCTCAGAGACACTTGTGTGCTTAACCTATTGCTTTTAGTGCAAGCATAACCTCTGCCTTTTAGTGGGACTGGAAATGTGAGCAGGATAGTGGGGATCAGGTTTGGCAGTCAGACTTGTGTGAACTCAAATTTGCTCATGCACACCCATGTGCAGGAGGAGGTGTTTAATGGCCTCAGCGTGGAAGTGTCTGTGAAGTTTGGGTCATTGTTTTCTGGGGTTTTAATTCTGCTTAGCAGTTTGAATTTTGGACTGGAGTCCTGATAGTAAGTTTTGACTTTTTTTTTAATAGACAGCTGTAGTTGTAATGTTGAGTGTAGCTGAATGTGGAGTGTAATGGGTGCAGTAGAGCTTACTTATGCAAAACTGACCAGGGCTGTCATCAAACAGATCTCTTCAGATCACCTGATGGAATGATTTTGGATTTTTGTGTGTGGTATTTTTAATTAGCAAGTACAAAATCTATTTGATGGTTTGAAAAGGATGATATTTAAGAATTTCTTTTTAACTTGATCTCAGATTTATAATGCTTCATCTGTAATATATGCCCTTTACTTGTGAACTCATCAGTGTAACCCAGAATCTTCAAAATTTGATGTCATACATAGTTGACTTGGTGGAGTCTGGAAAAACACAAGCTAAATTGGATTATTAGTTTCCAAACTATTCACTGCTGATTTTTTGCTGGGAGAGCCTCTTTGTTCCTATGTAGCTTGAGCCACTGATTTAAAAATAGATTTAAATGCATTTATAGGTAAAAGTGAGCTTAATTGACAGTGAGCTGGTTGTAGCTTTTGTATTTTGCTTTACTGGGTAGTTCTAGTAGTAAACTGAATTTATTGAAGTAAATCTATGAAATTATCTTAATTGCCTGATCTCAATAGTATTTTCAAGGAACTCCCCTATTTGTGTGTTTGTATTTTAATGTAAGGTACATAGTGCAGCTTGTGTATGCATATTGTTTGGAGGCTTTGAATGGCTTGCCTGTCTGATCCATTTTAATAGATTCCAGCCTTTTTCCATGACATCATTATTATAACAGACTTCCTAGAAAATATGAACAGCTGCTGTGTATTTTTTTCCTGTGTTTGATATTAAAACTGTAGCAGCTATTCTGTTCTTTACAAATGACAGCAATAGGCTTGTCTGATGTAAAACAAAATGAAAAAAAGTCCAAGTAAGGAGCTGTGATACTGTTAACAGGCCAGTAATGTAACAGGTCTCCTTGTATGAATCATTTCATAATGCAATAAGGGATTACTTA